TGCTGCTGCTGCTGCTGCTGCTGCTGCTGTTGCTGTGAACTCACAGGAGTCAGGGCACCACCTGCTGCTGCTGCTGCTATGGCCGCGCCCTCCGCCGGCATCAGCATGACGTTACCGGCGCCACCCCCAGTAACTGCAGCACATGTAGATGCAGCAGCAGCAGCAGCAGCAGCAGTTTCAGCAGCAGAAACACCTGGAGCAGGAGCCATAGAGTTGTTGGCTGCGGTGCCGCCGGCCGTGCGCTGCTTCTTCTGTCGCTTGCGAGCCTGAGTAGGTGGTGCTTCTGCAGCACCACCAGCAACTGCTGCTGCTGCTGCTGCTGCTGCGGCAGTGGGATCAGCTGCAGCTGGATCTGCTGTTTGCTGCTGCTGTTCCGTCTCAACAGCAGCCGCAGCAGCCGGCTGGCCACTCCCTTGTGTTTGCTCAGCAGCAGCAGCAGCAGCAGCAGGGGCTGTAGCTGCAGCAGCAGCAGCAGGTAGGGCGTTGGGTGTTCCTGTGACAAGGTAACGACATATCTGCTGCAGCATAGAGACACTCTGCTGCTGCGAGAGGCCCCCAACCTTCAGGCCAAAGAAAGAGAGCCACCTGTGAAGACAGCTGGCTTCCATCTTAGCCCAGTCTACTCGCAGCAGCAAATGCGTGTCGCTTGCTGCTGCTGCTGCTGCTGCTGCTGTTGCTGTTGCTGTTGCTGCTGCTGCCGCCCCTGCTTGTGCTGCTTTCGTTGCTGACCCTCCTCTTGGCTTCGAAGCCGTTACAGATGGGGCTGAAGCTTCAGCAGCAGCAGCAGCAGGTGCTGGCGCTGTTGCTGGTGCCGCTGCCGTTGGTGCTTCTGTTGCTGCTATTGTTGCCGGTCCTGCTGCCGTTGGTGCTGCTGCTGCTGCTGCTGCTGCCGGTCCTGCTGCCGTTGTTGCTGCTGCTGGCACACCTGAGGCCTCATTCGATACTGTCGCAACTCCTGTTGTTATCTCGGTTGCTGCTGCACTCGCAGCAACTGCTTGGGCTGGTGTTGCTGCGGTCGTCGCTGCTGCAGTTGCTGCTGCTGCAGTTGCTGCTGCTGCAGTTGCTGCTCCATTCATCTCTACGGCTGCCTCTGCTCCTGCTGCTGCCACTCCTACAAGAGGAGGGGAGGAGAGCACCTGCAAGCCGTCATCGGAGTCACTCTGGCTGCTGCTGCTTTTGCTGCTGCTGCTGCTGCTGCTGCTGTCGCTGGAAAGCTGCACCAGCTCGATTGGCTCTTGGCGCTTCCTCTTGTTGTGGCCTCCTGATTGCGAAGCCCCGTGGCTTGTGCTGCTGCTGCTGCTGCTGCTGTGGCTGCTGCTGCTGCTGCTGGACGGCGGGCTTTGTGCTGAAGCGTAAACACAGCCGTCATCAGTTGAGAATGGCTGCGGCCCCTGCTGCAGCGGTTGCTGCTGCTGTCCTTGCTGTTCCTCTTCCCGCTGCTGCTGTTGCGACACAGCCGCTTCTGGAGGAGGATTTGTTGGGGTGTATACGCAGCTCACGGGAGATTGCGGGCAGCTCTCTGGGGTGTACATGTACACCCCAGGGCTGTATGCAAAGCCACGAGGAGACGAGGTGTCTTCGTAGTACGCTGCTGCATCTTCAACTGCAATTCCTTCTGGCTCCTGCTGCACCTGCTGCCCTTCCTGCTGCTGCTGTTGCTGCACCGGCTCCACTGCGCTCTGCTGCTGCTGCTCTTGCTGAATATCTGCCTCTAGGGTGTGTCCGTCTACCCCTTGCTGTGGTTGCTGCCGAAGCTGTTCTGGCTGCTGCTGGTCTGTCAGCTGCTGCTGCTGCTGCTGCTCTGATTTCTGTGGCGTTGCGTTCTGCTGTTGGCGCTCGTGCTGCTGGTCTTGCTGCTGATGCGCTCCTCTGCTGTCTTCGTCTACCCGTTGCTGTGGTTGCTGCTGAGGCAGCTCTGGATGCTGCTGGTCTGGCAGCAGCAGCAACTCCTGCTGCTGCTCGGTTAGCTGTGGCACTGCGTTTTCCTGTTGCTGCGCGTGCTGCACCTCTTGCTGCTGCTGCGCTTCTAGGACGTCTCCGTCTACCGGCTGCTGCATTTGCTGCTGATGCTGCTCCGGTTGCTGCTGGTCCCGCATCATCTGCTGCTGCTCTTGCTGCTCCGTCTGCTGTGGCTTTGCATCGTCAATGCGTTGCTGCTGCTGCTGGCGGCTTCGCGTCTGCTCTTGCTGTTGCCTTTCCTGCGGCTGCTGCTCCGGTGGCTGGAGGTGCTGTTCAGCTTCCTGCTGCTGAGACTCTTCTCGCAGCATCCGTTCCTCTGGCAGTTGTTGCTGCTGTTCCTGCTGTTCCTGCTGCTGCTGTTGCTGCTGCTGCTGTTGCTGCTGCTGCTGGACCTGCTTCCCCCTGCGATTGCAAGCCTCTGACGGGCAGCGACAGCTGGTGCCCTGCTCAGCGCAGCGCAGAGCTGCAGCAAGAAAAGTATCAAGGAACGCGAGGCCTTCTGCCAAGGATTCTAGCCGCTGCTGCTGCTGCCGAGCTTGCTGCTGCAGCAGCTGCTGCTTCTCAACCTGTTGTTGCTGTTGCTGCTGCTGCTGCTGCTGCTGCAGCTGTTGCAGCTGAAGCTTGTTCCTCACACGCTGTCTTCGCAACCTGGCAAGCGCCTCTCTGATCTGCTGCGGCTGCTGCTGCTGCACAAACAGCAGCTGCTTCAAAGGCTCAGGAAAAATGCAGCTGAAAGAAGGAGGCAGCAGGGGCAACCAACTGCCTACGCAGTCTGTCTTTCCCGCGGCTATCCACGCTGCTTCTGCTGCTGCTGCTGCTGCAGCTGCCATATCCTCCTCAACCGAAGCTGCTGCTGCTGTTGCTGCTGCAGCTGCTGCTGACGAGTTACCTGCACAGGCAAAGCCACTGGGAGCTGTTCCCTTGCTGCTAATGCTGCACTCTGCTGTTTCTACTGCTTGTGCAGCAGAAGGTGCAGCAGCAGCAGCAGCTGCTGCTGCTGCTACTGATGGGACGGATACCTCGATAGGCCTTCTCGCTGCTTCCTCTTGTTGAGGTGCTGCTGCTGATGTTGCTGCTGCTGGTAATACAGGCACGGGGGCATCAGCACCTGCTGCTGCTCGGTTCGTGTCTTGTGCAGCAGCTGCAGCAACCACAGCGGATGCTGCAGCTGCTGTTTTTGCTAATGTAGTTGCAGGAGAAGCTGCTGCAGTTGCTGCCTCTCCTGTCTCCGCCTCGCCTCCAACGCATATGTACTGATCGTCTTCTGCTGCTTCTGCAGCAACCAAAGGCAGCGCAGCCATGCACCGGACCCGAGCTGCGGGTGGCAGCAGACTACGCGCCGCCGTTGGGGCCCACGCTGTTTGCAGTAGCTTTTGTGAGGCGGATGCGCTACCTGCTGCTGCTGCTGCTGCTGCTGCTGCTGCTGCTGCTGCTGCTG